GCACATTATATCCTACACATTTTATATATAAATCAGTTTTATCCAGTAACTAATATAATGATCAAACAACATGACAATAGTTTTAAAAATGGACAAATACAGACGTGAAAGAGMACTTTTTAAAGAGGGACGAGGAAGAAGAGGTCTGGGCTAAAGCCCCTGATGTTTGAAGAGCCTAAAATCACCCCTGGATGGGAGTCAAGCAGCACCCCTCACTTCAGACCATTTTCAATGATACAATAACCAAACAGGCCCAGAAAATCATCTCAGACCCCACTCATATTCTTCATTCAGAGCATCAGTTTCTTCCTTCAGGTCGGTTCAGAGTTCCCACATGTAGACTGAACCGCTACAAGAACTTTCTATTAAAGCCATAAACAGTAACAAACAGTGAACGTAAATTGTAACTTTAGGTAATAATGTTCATGATTTTAAATTGCACCGACATGCCTCTTTTATGTATTTATTTCTCTTGAGATGCATTTATTGTAAATGTGTGTTTTGTGTGGAATGTAATGCGACTGTTGTGGGTTGTTTTGAAGTGTGTAGCAGTCAGGGTCTCTGTACCCAAGACAAATTTCCTTCRGGACAGTAAAGTTAATCTKATCTTGCATGCAGGGCTGCGGCCCTCGAGGACCAGGGTTGCTCATCCCTGGCTGGTTTAGACACCTGCAGTGTTGGAGGTCAACATTGCCATCAAAACCTTTGATTAAACGGGTTTCTTTGCATTTATTTTATTTCATTTCAAAATGTCACACAGCCAAACAGCCACAGTCTAAAACTTTGTCTCTTCCTCTCTGACAGTTTTAGCGTGTTACTCTTCATGTTACCTTCATTAACTCCCACAATTACGTCTCCTCTCTGGCTTCATTCCTCGTTAATGGAGCTAACCCAGAGCTAATGAAGCAAATAGTTGGGACAATTTAGTCATTAGAGATAATTAAGACAATCCAACTCAGAGCGACAGACGAGGAGAGTCTGGTAGGCAGCCRCCCAGACCAAGCATCGTTCTGTTCAAAGAGAAAATGTCTTCAGCTGGATTGAATACATTTTCCCTCTGGTGGTATCATTCATAATACTTGAATCATTATAAGGCTGCTCAGCAGTTGGCTGAAAGCATCACTGATTCCTTCATGCAGGGATTATACCTGGCCTCAGGAGGAGGAMAATGTTTCCTAAAGAGGCAGACGGAGACACAAGGCAGCTGTGATGCATTCCAGCACAATAAAGTAAAAATCCTCTCCTTCACAGCGTATTACAGGAATGAACATAAGGGATTGTGTCATTGTTGGCCCATAATCTGGCTTTAAACTCCTGGTTTTACAAATAGTCCTCTTTAAAAAACTCTTTCTTCCTGCCTCTGATCTGTTTTTCTTCTTTCTCTTCATCCTGGATTAACCTGCTGCTTCCTCATCAGCAGTTTGATTGTATTACAAAAATCTTTGTTTCCCTCTTTAACAAACACTCACACACATGCACACACACAAAAATATTCAACAGGATTAAAGGATGTAAATCTACAGGACATACTGTCTAACAGTCTTACATGTGGTCAAAATTTTCTTCTTAGCTTGTGATCCTAAAGCAACACAAAATAGTAAGATTCAGTGTTATACAAACGTCTTTCCAAGTGTCCTTTTTGTTMAAGATATCACCCAGACATGGAGCTCTGGGCACAAGATCTATGTTAGAACTGAGAAATTACAGTATTTATAATAAATCTGGGATTTCAAGTCTCCTTTACAATACTGAGTGACACAGCTACTGTGAATGCTGATTCAGCAGATTTTGTGCTATGTTAGCCATTTTTGCATCACCATGTTCAYATTGTAACATATTCAGGAGCTGGGTGCAATGCCTTTTGTTTTGTTTTTTTGTGACTTTTAGGCTTTTAGATATATTTAACTTCTTCTACAAAAACATTCCCAGAGACAGACGTTTCTTCAGCACATTTTGCTCTATTTTTGTTTTTAACTCTCCTGTTGCAGGTCAAATTGACCCATTTTAACCTTTAATAAAAAAAATAGTTTGAAGTATTTTTTCTGGATGACACTTTTTCTATTTGTCTTAAGAAGTATAATCAACATATGAAATGAAATTGGTTTATTTTACATAATTGCAACTCCCCACAACATTTACATTTTATAGAACAAAATGTAAAAAAAAATCTATAAAAAATCCAATTTCACGTATAATCATGTTTGTGTGTGTGTGTGTGTGGGGGGGGGGGTTTCAGTGGACATAAAGAAATGTCATTTCTTTATGAAAAACAAGTAAGTTGTCCTCATTGATCTTTTATGTGAGACATAAAAAAACATCAATGCACAAATAGATATTGAAATGGTTAGTAATGTGTTTAATAATCAGATACAAATATGTTTTGGGGTATTTAATTTGTTTCTGACACTATTGCATGATTAAACATTCCCCGGCTCAAACTGACACAGGAACTGTGTCAGTTTGAGACTCAGAAATGAACATAACAGGAGGGTTAACACTTTTAACTTTTAGTTAACTCATGGAGACTTTTAGCTTTTAGCTATAGCCCTTTTAGTTAGCATTTTGATATTTTTTGAAACATTTTGCTTCTTTTAGCTTCTAGTAATTATTTTTTCTAATCTTACTGTTTAGCTTTTGATATGTTTAGATTTTCTGGGCAGCACTGTGGCCTTTCTGGGTAGAGTTTGCATGTTCTCTCTGTAACCCAGATGAAAAGAGAAAATAATTTTTTTGCATAAATAGTAAAATGTAAGTGAGCCCTAGGATTTTTACAAAGAGGATAAATTCATTTTATTTAATTTCATTTTCTTAAAATGCCTTAATTCATGTAAGTGATTGAAAAACATGTTTACATTGTTTAAAATAAGTTAATCTTCATTTGTTGTGCATTACTTGTGAAAATCTGTAATTTCCTCTGGGAAGAGGGTCCATGAAGGTAACAGAGTTGGAAGGAAAAAAAGTGGGGAGAGTTTGGGTGGGTCTGACAGCAGCAGGTGTGTGGTTAAGACACCTTGAGTGGACACAATATGCCCACAAGTACCATATTGTGTCCGCTCAAGGTGTCTCTCCCGACCCGCAGAAGACTACCACCTGGCCTCAGCCTTGTGACCTAAAGTCTCTGAGATCATTTTTGGGTTTTTGGGGATACTATCGGAGATTTATTGCTAACTCTGCTGCAGTCGTGAGACCCGTCACTGAACTGACCGAAGGCTATGCTCCAACACAAGAGAACTGGAAAAAGAATCCAGATGTCACCAAGTCCTATCTGAAAGAGTCAGAACTCTTTGGAGAGCGGTGGGATGACTCCTGCAGAAAAGCTTTTCATCATATCATCCACTGTTTAACCAATGCACCAGTACTAGCATTTGCTGATCCTACCAAGCYTTACAAGCTTCATGTTGATGCTAGCTTCAAAGGACTGGGGGCTGTCCTATACCAGCTACAACAAGGGGACCTAAGGCCGGTTGCATTTGCTAACAGGAAACTGTCAGACTGAAAAGAGATACCCTATACATTGAGTTCCTCTCATTAAAGTGGGCTGTTGTGGATCACTTTCATGACTATCTGTATGAGGCATGCTTTACAGTACATACAGATAATAATCCCTTGATTTATGTTCTGTCTACTGCAAAGCTCAATGCTGTGGGACACAGATAGCTAGCTGCTTTGTCCATGTATGACGTTGATGTCCATTATAGACCTGAAAAACATAACACAGATGCAGACATCCTTTCCAGAAACTTTGACGCCAACACTGAATGGAAGTCTATACCTGAGGCAGCTGTTAAATCCATCTGCAAAAGAGTCCGAGTGTCAGAAACTCCAGAGTGTTCCTCTAGATGTGTTGATCAAACTGGAACTTSTCCAGAATGTGTCCCAGACATCTATGCATTTCCCTTGACAATGGAGTTACAGTCCCTGGAACACGTGTCAAAAGCTGATATTGCTCAGGCTCAGAAAGAGGATTCAGCCATTGGTCTAGCTATCCAAGCAGTCCAACAGAATCAATGGTCCAGCACTGGTCCAGGGCTGTCACTCATGAAGCGTGAAAAAGAGAAAATGACCTTACTCAATGATGATCTGCTCTATTGCATCACCAAACTTCACTCAGCTGAAGAGGTCCATCAGTTAGTCCTGCCAACGAGATACCATAGTGTTGTGCTTAGATCAGTACACAATGGCTCAGGACATTTTGGAATAGACAGAACACTGGATTTACTCCGTCAGAGGTTTTACTGGCCAAAGATGCTGCAAGACACTGAGCAACATATAAGAAGCTGTGGTGAATGCATAACACACAAGACTCCTGCTCAGAGAGCAGCACCACTTCACCAGATCTCCAGTAGTGGTCCTATGGATCTGGTTTGCATTGACTTCCTCTCAATGGAGACAGATTCCCGGGGCATGAGCAATGTTTTGGTGGTCACTGATCACTTTACACGTTATGCTCAGGCGTTCCCAACCAAGAATCAGACATCTCGAACTGTGGCCAAAACTTTAGTGGATAAGTTCTTTGTCCACTATGGACTACTGTCACAGCTTTTAACTGCTTTCTTACAATCGGTTAGTTTTCCCGTCACACAATCACAATGAAGAGTGGAGAATATAATTGGTCTAAAAGTGAAATTCACATTTATTTGTAAAAACAACAATTAAGAAAAACCTAGATTAAAATTGAATAAAACAATCTCTGAAAGAGAAAMATCTGCAAAAGGAAGAAACAGGTTATCCAAAAAAACAACAGTCCAAGTCTCCCATCGCACAGCTCAGTTCAGTTCATCTCATGCTTTTCATTTAAAGTCTGTCACCACACCAGCAGGGGAGATCACCACGCAGTCCTGGCAGGAAACTGTTCCATCCACCTATCCACCTGTATGG